CACATTCTCTTAACTGGACCTCCAGTTTCCATAACCCATCTACATAATAGCTAAGAAAATAATGGAATGACATATTGCCTACAATTGAAAATTTCAGAAAAGCTTTGCTAGGAATCTATGGGAACCTGTGCTACACCAATCCTTGGGTGTATAAAGAGAGTGAGCTGTCTATGGCATGATAGGAAACCCTGCAGTATGGCGCCTCCATTTCTTTGGCTTTAAGGAGGTCATTGACCAAATTAGACAAGGCTGTGGTCTGCCCATCTTTATTGTGGATACGACACTGACAATCTTTCCAATCCCATCTGGGACAGGGGACCTTCATTGTCTCCTAACTCCCTGCCCCACCCTAGTGCAGGAATCAGGGCGGGGTTTGTCAGGGATAGCACAAAGAAAATGTCAGCACTCCTGGAATTAAGTGCCAGCCAACGAAGGTCTCTCTCCTCCTTTTTCTCTATCTCTATGCATCTCCACAGGGGTGCAACTGGTAGCTGACATCACTAGAGGGGTCATCCCCGGCTGGGCACAGCCACGGCTCTCTGGCCCTTGCTGGCCCCCAGTGACCCTTGTTTTTGATGACAGACTGGGCTTTTTGTGTAGCAGCGCCCTGTCCAGGTGAGGACAAGAGAGGGCGACAATGGCAGGAAACAAAGCCGATGGATGCTGGGAGACGACCCTACGGGGTCATGGGTCAATCTGGACAGCTGAGTGATGAGTGCAGCTGTGGACACGTGGACCTCCTTCTCTGGCCTTTAGCTCTGCTTGCTATGTCAGCTGATGTTGCCTTTGTCTTGGGATAAAGACCTCACTAACTCTCAACAAGTTAGAGAAAAGTAATAAACACAGGCAACAGATGTACTACGCCATAGATTCAGAGTGTACAGCTATTATAGTGACACCCCAACCTATACGGTGTGGGTCAACTATGTCTTTTCAAAGGGTGACTGGAATGGAATTAGATAATAAAGGGACTTTTGACTTTAATGAATTATACATTTTAATGGTTGCCATTTTAGATGGAAATTGTCAGTTCAAAAAATAATCCAAAATAAAAACAAATGTTTAATCTACATGGAAAAAAAAGGAACTAGATTTTCTCTCATGGAAAGAGAGATGTATGTATTATGTATTATTTAAAAACACTAACTTGCAAAGAGAGAGAAAAAGCCCTTACATATATTTATTTGTGCAGTACAATATAACATACAATGTTTCAGTAGTACAGGTGAATATGATGCATTTCCAACCCCGGCTGCCACTGCTGCAGAATTAGCTGGCTCTCCCTTGTCACTTAGTATAAACCCAAAATGGTGTAAAACTGCTGAAGTTGAACTCTTTTTAGTAACTAACTGTCTGTGACACAAACGAAAAGGACTATTCTAAACCTAGCTATGTGTTACCACCCAAGCCCATTAAACAATGAACATACAAGTGTCTCCAAACTACAGCAATTCACACATCCTGAACTGTCCAACTGTTTCCGATGCCAAAGGTCATTGGCTGCTTACTCTCCTACCGGCCCGCACTGAGAGATGGGAGGACGGGGTTTGCCAAGTCATTCACAAACCCTGCTTTGGGTCACAAACACCTCCGCCTGTCTCTCCTCTTCTTTTCTCCTCCACAGAGGTGAGTTGGGTTTGCACTCTGTTAATCTTTCACTACAGGCCTGCTTGCTTTTACACTGGCCCACTGGAGAACAGAGGAGGGGAATGAAAGAGGGGTAGTAAAGGACGAGAGTGGATAAAAGAGCAGGAAGAAAAAGCCATAGAGAGGGCCAGATGGGCACCTTCACAGTCCATTTATCAAACCCAATGTGGCCCTCCCCTCCCCTCCCCGCTGCTCTCATGTCCTAAACCCCCATGTAATTCTGTAATGATTTTCATTATCATATAATGACCTTACAAAGCCTACAGCAGTTTGCATGGTCAGTACAAAACTCGCAGCTGTTCCCTTCAGTGTTTGCTCGCCGGCTGTGACAAAGCTTTTTTTTTTTTTTTTTCTGATGGTCAGAGCAGTGACCTCTAGGTGCTGGAAGGTCACCATGAGGTCACCCCATCCAGGGGGTTCAACGCTAACCACACTGTAATCATATAGAATCGAAATAGCATCACACCAAGTAAATACTGTAAGTAAATTCAAATATAGCACTTTTGAAAACAAAACTACAGAACACTGTTCGATTTTGTGTGCATGTACTCCTTCTTTACCTGTATTTGCATAGACATGAAACAAGATCTATGCATTTTCAAAACCTAATAATTCTAGTACCATCTCTATAGTTCTGGTGCAACTGGGATGTGCCATTTCCTATCCTAATAGACCTGTTCCCTGGAGGTTGTGCCTTGCTCTTCAATCTGCCCTTCCTGTGTGGCATACACAACTGCTCTGCTACGATACAGTCACCCACCCACATAATAATCCATCTATTTTCAGGGCACTCACGGGGCATTTACCAAAGGGACACGGAGGGCAGCATCTATCAAAGAATTCACCATGTGCATCTGGAAAACCCAGTTACCAGAAAAGCTCATAAGAATAAAAAAGCTCTCATAACTTTGTTGGCTCAGAGTGAATGAATGGACTGCTCCTGCTAGCGAGGCGAGGAGGGGCATCACTCACTCTGAGTGCCTATAAGTCACTTGTGAAGAACCACTGGTCACCAAGTCCAATTTCTCTTTCTTTCCTTCTTGCTAGCACTAAAAATGCCCCGGAGGCAGAAAATGGCAGCTAGCAGGCCCACGTTCCACTGCTGCTTTAACTGGTGTTTAAGAAACAAAAGTCAGCGAGAAACTTAATCAATCAGTGCTGGTTGTTTATGTTTATGTGCCTCTAGCAAGAGTCATCAATCATGCTTTTCCCCCTTTTTTCAATCCTTTTGCAAACATTATGTGCTGAATGGAAACCATGAAAACAAAAGGCAGTATTATGATAAAAGCCTGCCTGTTGCATATTGTGTGAAAACCTAATTAGGATGCCCAATAAAAAAAAAAGCAGCAAAATGAATCAGCAAATGAATTTCAAAAATCCTCTTTTGGTGAGTGCTTTTATGGAAACAAATGGAGGTTTGAATACATCCGACTGAAGTGAACTAAATTATCTCATTGTGTCTGTAATATACTTCCCTTTGTCTCTTAGTAGTATGCATAAAGAATACAAACTTTTTCTTCCTCCACAAAGAACAAGCACGGCTTAACTCTCATCAGCTGCGAATCTCTAATCAGTACCAGTTCGTCTCACTTAACATTGCACATAGCCATGTGTTTAGTTTTGTGTAAATGAGATCTGCTGACAGCCACTTGACAGGATGACCCCTGGCTTTTTTGTAAGTGGGGGCGGTGGGGGTTAGGGATAGACATTTAATGTGTGTAAAGGGAAGAGGAGGTATCAGGAGCAGCTGGAGTTCAAACATATTGTGTGAGACGCTCGCCCTCCTCCAAAACTAATCTAATCAGTCTTTCACTGCTGATAGAGTAAACGTCTATCTGCCCCGCCGACAAGGACCGAGCATTTCCTGTCCTGGTCTGTGATACTGGTTGTCAGGATCTTAGGGTGGCCTGAGCTAAGTCTAGGGTTAGAAGGTGGTAACATTGCATTGTGGGTGGTGGGGGAACCACGGTGGTGGGAGACAGTGCTGATGTTAGTTTGGGGGTGGGTGTGGTGAGATGGTTTCTAGCTTTCAGCACCTGAAGCTGGAATGCACTATCAGAGCAGGCCCTACATCAGAGTTGTGAGGCGGTGGCCGTTGACACAGCAAATCAAGGTGTGTGGAAACAGCCTGTTTACAAGGCTCATCTGGATGGGGCATAGCTAAGGGTCAACTGGGGGGGGGGGGACTCAAAACAGAGGGGGAGCATGGAAAGATGAGGGAAACAACACAAGTTGTGCTGGAAGTTTACATATATCTTTCAAAAGAAAAGCTGTTACTTTCAGGGATTTGTCAGTGGATACTACCCCTGGCACTTTTGGTTTCTCTAGGCTCTGGATCATGTCTGGTCCAACATGTGTATGTGTGTGTATGTGTGTGTGTGTGTGTGTGTGTGTGACACTGAGGTCAAACCTGTTGATAGAGATAATATGCAGTAAAACATATGTGAATGCTGATCTAGCATATACATGCATGCCAGCGTTTGTGTGTGTCCTTGGTAGTGCTGAGGGGGAGAGTGATAGAGAGAAGGAACAGCTAAAATAACACCATGTTTTTGTGTGTGTGTGTGTGTGTGTGTGTGTGTGTGAGGCCTTTCTTTATCTGAATGAATGGCCAGTGTTCTAATCCTTGTGCTCCCTGCCCTTATCTGGAAGGAAGGAAGTGACTGGGCTTATCCAAGACACACGTGTCGTTGTGATAGCTGTGATAGCTGCCAGGCCCAAGGACCACAAACAAACACCAACTACACCACTGCATATCTATGGAATTCACATCAGCTCTTTAGAGGGAATCACTGTCAATGCACACTGAATCAAAGTAGGACTAAAGTGACGATTCATGATTATTTTGCTTGATAATGTGATCACAATTATTAACCCAACGAGTCCCCACAATTTACGTGAGGCTTGCACTTAAAAACATTTGGTGTTACTCGCTATCATTCAGCATATCAATAGCTCTGATCCTGCTGAGCAAAATGAGCTAACACGCTTGGCTGTAACTCCTACCTCTCTGTTGTGTCCCATTTCCCTTAATGAGGTTTCACTTAATATTTGCCTCAGTTGTTGATTTGTCATGGTGCTCATACAACTACAATTTTATTAGCAGCCCACTGCAAACTGTATGAATACCTCTTGTATCTTTGTTAGGAAAACGGGGCATTTAAACTGAAACTTTTTATCTGTGTGTGATGGTGTTCCCATTTTCAATATGAGAACATATAAGTCAGTGTTATAATATGAGTCAGTGCTCATGCTTCATAGAGGGTCTTACTTTACCTGTCTCACACATCTGAGCTAAGGATTTATTTTTCGAGGACCAATGGAAGGAACAAAGTCGTGGTACATTGTGTTACCTGTCTCTCCATGTCTGCCTTTGCTGGTGTCTGTCTGTCAAGGCAGACAGCAGGGTTTCTGCCATCTCCCTCCTTCCCTCCCCTGCTTGGCCCTCCTCCTCCACTCTAGCCAGGAAGAGCATAGTCTGAAAGAGAAAAGCAGAAGCAGAAAATAGGTGCATCAAGTAAAACTAAATGAAAAGATGTGTAAATGACAGTATGACCTGGACCAGTGGAAAAATATGTCATTCAAGAAAAACTCAGCATCTTTATTTAAAGTAAATTCCATTTCCGATACAAAAGAAAACTTCTTAAAAGAGTGGCTAAAATTATATTTGGTTTAAAACCCACTACATCCTTGAGTAAGACATATCAAAACTTGACCCTATTAAATCTCCCCCTGAATATTAAACTGTGTGGAACTGAGTGGAAAGACTACCTGAAGCAATTCCCCCCATCCTCGAGCTTCCATCCTCAGTTTAGAAATTACACAGCTCTGAGCCAAGACTCCATTATAACATCCCTGGGACGGCGACATACAGTAAGTCTAGTATAAAGTCAGTTTCACATCAGAGGATGGGCAAATTACACCCAATATTAGAGTGTGAGTCAATTAATCACGTCCTGCACAGCACAGTGTAATGTGTGAGTATCCCCCTGTTGAACATGAATTACAGGCCGGCTTAAAGTGTGACGTGGCACATCAGTGTTAATCTGAGACATCCTGGCAAACCTTCGCCTCCAAGTCCTCCGCAGCCTCTAAGCTGGTTGAGAGGGAGTCAAATGAAAAAGGATCTGGCAGCCCAAATTAAATGCAGCGCTGTCAGCCACACTCAAATCCCTCTTTCTCCCTCTTCTTCTCTACCCTTCACAGACTCTCTCACTCTCTGAATATCCTTAAATGTCTCACCCCCTCCTTCTCCCAGCCTCTGAGAAGTGATGGATCTGTAACTCTGACTGACTCTGACGTCTTGTTAAGAACAGTCTCTTCCTGTCACATCCACCAGTAAAGCACGTTCATTTCTTCCCATTAACAGTCACTCGCCTCCCCAGTCATCCAACCCTTAAAAAACCCACAATGTAAGGGAACCTTCATTTCTTCTCCTCTCCTTCTTTTTTAATCCCTTTCTGACAATCCACCTGTCTGTCTTACTTCATGTAAAGATGGGTTTTATTGTCTCTGTGTGTATTTCCAAAGGAAAGGAGTGCGATTTGTAGACAGAGTAATGTGCTTACTTCCTCCACACCACACAGGACAGGTGTCAAAACATGTGGCCATGTGTGACTGATTACACCTGACTCGGAGAAGACACCAAAGATTACAGTGACCAGGAGAAAGCGGGGCTGGCTGCACTCCCTATGGAAACTGTACCATTCCGTTTGGATCAAACCCTGTCCTCCTGGAATGAGTGTCAGGCTAAGAAAGTGGCAGAAAGTGCATTCAGACTGTATCACCATCTCAGGTAGTTGACATCATATTGCCATGCTGGCCGTGTACGGTTTCATCGTTGCTGAAGAGCACGTGATTCGTAGCTGATCTGAAACCTGCTCTGACGTGCTTCTGAGCTCGCTTTCAGCTCTTCACATGGCCTGGCCTGGGCACAGAATGTGTATCAGAAAAGGAAACATTTAGACAAAATCATGTTTGCACATCAACACTTTGCTCTGAATTACAGCCTGTAAATATGTGGCCAATGCATGCAACAACATGCAACACGCATCAATGTTACCAAAACAGACGCTAACGCCTGCCAACCCGTTGGCGTATGCTCATCTTTTCCATTAAACACATTAAGCACAGCGATGACAACTTCTGCTTTGGGAGAGTGTGTGTACATTTGGCGGGTGTGTATACGAAAGCCTCTTTTTGTGTTTGTTCTCGGCTAATTTTTGTGAGTATAGGTGTGCCGCTAATGATGTGAATGTGTGCTACCAAGCCTCCTACCTATGAAAATGTGCGCATGTGTGTTTGCATGCCAGAGTTTGTGTGCGTAAGATCTTGTGTTCAGAAGACCTGGTGCTGAGAGAGGCCTTCAGGTTTAGCCACAGGCTGATCCCCAGGCCATTCAGATACCCCACTGGTTGTTTACTGGTCCAGCCCGGCCTCAGTCAGCCACAGCAAGACCACAGCCCTTTATCTCTAGGCCTGTGTTAAAACTAATCAGCCCCCTCTTTTCCTTCTGTTTACCATTTGATGACAGTAGCTATCCTCAGCCTCCACCTCTCTCAGCCTGATGCTGACCACAGATGTCCCCCTGACCCAGGCCACATCCTGAGGTGAACAAGAGGACAAGGAGAACCTGGGAATCTCCATCCCTGGTCCCCAGACCCCAAACTCAACCCTGTCTATTTAACTAAAGATTGGTATAAACATTTCCGGCCCTGTGCAGAAGCAGGGTAGGTAAACAAACACACAGCCAGGCTGAGGTGATATTTTGGTTGCTGGAGAGCAGGAGTGATGATAGCGTTCCAAGCGAAGGCTGGCTGGAGGGCAGCCTGGGGCGGCTCACTAACACCTCGAGCCAGGACTGTATCTTAACACCAACAAGCATCTGTCTATTCCATCACATAGCAACATGTCACTCATTCAACACAGAATAATAGAACGGGAAGATTGTTTGATGCTGCACACAGTCCAATACAGTGTACATCCCTTAAAACTTCACAGAATAGCTGTCATAGGTCACGTAATGCCTAAGAAGTGCTCAAAGGGAGGATGGTTAAAAAAAGATCCATGCAGAACTGAAGGTTTACACTCCATAAAACAGAGCTACTAGCTGACCACCAGAGTGTCTGAGAAACTGTTAACACCCTATGAAATGCTTTAGCTGACTTTAGACCAGGACTTTCAGGGGACCCAGAGCACTATTAAGCTCACTGGCACTCTCTTATATAGGAAACCTTTTCTGTCTGCAGGCCACAAAAACTACAAATCCCCAAATTTCTCTCCCTTTTTAATAGACATGGGTGATTTTTAGACTAGAATAGTCCAAATGATGGGCGATTAACTAAAAAGGTAGGTGGTAAACAAATGCACCACTAACACCAAACATAGCCCGGGTTTTGACTGGTGACTAGTGTTAATTTGCCACCATGCTGCCTCCACTCCTAAGTGAACCTCTGTCTGTCAGACTGCCAACCTCCACGCCTGTCTCCCTGCCACTAGCACGTGTAACAGGCTCAGCAGCAGGCCAGTAGACTCTTCTGTCTCTCTGTGTGCCAACACATCTGTGTACCCATATGGAGGCAGGCATGGCCCTAACTAGTAATCCATCCCGCCGTTTGTGACCGTTGAGCCACAACTGGGCTGGCTTTAACTCGTAGTGATGGCGTGCAAGCACTTAAAACCTCCACAAAATGTTCTATATTAAAAATTATATTAACTCCATTGAGGTATTTTGGGGGAAAATCCACATTTCAATTGGAGAGGACACTGACAACCTTCTGGCCATGGACCAATTGTGTGACTGATTTTGAGGACCTACATAGCGTCTGGAACATACCCAAATGGACTTCACTCTGCAGTAGATCAGATTTACACCTAAGAATAATACCAGGTGAATGATTTTGGGCAATACTTTAATATCCAGGACAGAGATCCACAGTTTCAAACGATAGCAATAGCCTGAGATTTGTAAAAATGAAAGATGTATACCTTTCTAACACCCCTGTGGTCAGTTCTGCCTCTTATTCCTCCCTAACGTGCCCAAAACAACAACTGGGTACCATTAGCAAGGTATGTCAAGCTTTAAGGTTTAACTCTTTTCTCCAGATCTTCAGACACTCCATTGACTTTTGCCACAGTTTAAACTCAGCTGCTCTGACATCTGATTTCACAGGACTTGGGAGTGGGAGTTGGACAGACATAGATGCCTCCATCTCCCTCTCCTCTCTAATACAAGAAACCAATATCACTTTGACCGCTGGTGGAAAAAGGCATCAGGCACCTTGCTCGGGGTAATGGATAGCTTCTGCTCACTGATATAAACAACTGGGGAGCTGTGATCCTGCCAGGGCCAGTTCCAGTCTGGACAAGGGATCTGTGTGTGTTTGCTGCATGCCACCGCCGAGTTACTTTGCTCTTGGGGGGGACTCTCCACCGGTGGAAAAATTATATTAGCCCAGGAAGAAATAAGCCCAGACCACATTCACTTTTCTAGTGACATCACACTTTAAGTCATAAAAAGTGTGTGTGTGTGTGTATGTGTGTGTCTGAGTTTTTTTCCTGCCGTCTGCCTGCTGTCACATGATTACAGGTGGTTCAAAATTGAGGCATATCTGAAATTAAATTTGTTCAGTTTCCATTACGTAAGATTGGTTGATAATATGTGTGTGTGTGTGTGTGTGTGTGTGTGTGTGTGTGTGTGTAGGGGGAAGAGTGAAGAGTATCAACATAGCTGGTGAGGATTTTCGCACAGACTTTGATGCACAGCAACTTTTAATATTATCAAAGAGGAAACAGTAAAGAAAATGAGAGAAGCAAGTTCTATGAAAATGTCTTTTATTTGTGTGTGCGTGTGTCTTTTGAATTATCTATGCAACTTTGAGTATGAGTATTGACTTTAGGGGTTTGTCGCAACACCTCTTTGCAGTTACTTGAAATAAATCATTTTAATAATAGAGAAATGTTAAAAGGCATATTATATAGTTTCTTCTATAAAGTATACTCAGCTTTTAGAATTTCTAAAAAAGATCGTATTCAAAGCCTATCTGTTTCTACGATAAAGCAAGATACTTCTAAGAAGGACACAGAGATTTTCTAATTTTATTTTTATTTGTGTGTGTGGGTGTGTTCTCGCAGTCTCCGTGGTGACAGAAACCAAGGCCTTTCTGCCAGATTGACCCTTGCAGGGTCGTGGGCACCATCAATTATGTCAGCCAGTAAAATGGGCTTTGCTACACACAGCAGATTATATGGAGTGTAAAACATTAGAAAAATGTGTCTGAAACATCAGAGTAACATGTTTGAAGTGACAATTGGTTTGGGGGTGGAGGGTAGGGGGGATAAAGGCACCAAAAAGGGAAGACCCCTGACAAGTGATTTTGTTTGAAGGCTTTGTAAGACCCTCAAGTGGGCAGGGATGCTTTCTATGGCTCCAACGGCACTCCATCTTCAGGGCAGAATACAAGCGGGATGGTGGGACAT